CTTTTACTCGAGTATGAAGCTGGCACGCACAGCGAGCTTGATCTTGGAGTCACTTGGAGAGCCCCGGTGGATTGGTCTCCTGCTCGGGGTCGGTTCTACACAAGCCGGTACTTGGCTGGCAGCGGGAATGCAAGGGGATCCATCGTCATTTCTTTTCGGGCAAATGATGGTCCTTCTGGGGACTGTTACTCTCCAGGTATCGAGGCAGTCGAGTACGTCGACATTATGATCCTCCAGATGATACCGTGGTATGTTCGTTTGTATGGCCACACGCTACAGGTTTCGTTGGATGGCCGAAACGTGGAGTTTTGGTCCGTGGTTAGACTGATGAGATTCACACCAGCAGAAGATCGCAAAGCTCCTGCTGCTGTGGAGATTGCTCTGCGAGTTTCTATTGCAACCCAGGCCGTAACTCTGACGATCCAATATGACAAGGTTTGTGATATTGCTGGTTGTTTTGGAAGAGATCTTGATGTTTGCTGTTTCATTCATGCAGGGATTTCTTCACATCGACGAGCATCCTCCAGATGCAAACCGTGGATTTGATCTGCCTTCCGCAGTTATCACTTTCCCAAGGTGCCGTGTGTTCAAACAATTCCAAAGTGATGATGTCGGTCACTCGCACATTTTGGCTGTTGTTCAGGTAGTCGATTGTTTTGTTTTTCCAAGTCCGAGTTTTGTCTTTGCTCTCCTCTTACAGAGCCAGCGTCCAATGCAAATATATAGCGAAGTTTCATTGATGCAACTGGCCACACCGGATTTCAGCATGCCGTACAACGTGATCACCCTGACGTGCACAGTTCTTGCGCTGTACTTTGGCTCGCTGTTAAACGCTCTGAGGCGAAGGATAGGCGAGGAAGAACGAGAAAGCAAAGGTACCTAGAGTTATCTCCCCATCCATTCCAAGCTCTCGTTCTTATGCCATTTGTTCTTGACAAGCAGAAGGGAAGAAGGCGGGGCTTCTGAGCCAAAAGCTCAAGTGGCTGAGAAACGAGAAGCACATGAGAGTGATCAAGGTGATACTGGTGGTGATAATTGGTGTGGCTGTAAATCACTACTTGAGCTCGTCATGATGGCACTCTGGGCTCTCGGAGAAATCATTCTGTCCAGACTCCTCTGGAGGTATTTCGAGAGAACAAAAAAATGTGAAAACTGGCGCTTGCATTTTCCATACACCTGACAGAAAGAGAAAAGCGAGGAGCTTTGGGACAGCTTCTCTTGTAGCTTCCGGGCGATAAAAACTGCTCTTTGCTAGATCCATGGAGGAAGATGTACAAGTTAAAAACTCTTTTCTTGGGTTGGATACTTATATCTGTATAGGGGTTTTCCTTAAGGAGTTTAGGATCAGGTGTCCGTTCTTGCCTTTGAAGGATCTGTGCTTGGCTGGTTTTATATCTTTTATGCATCTTGGCGAAAACGAAGCAGCAAAGTTGCTGGATTGCAAGCTAATGTTACACTTTCTTGTGTTTGATACTAAAGCTAACAATAAGGAGAAACTTTAAGCAAAAGAAGTATAAGTGGAGAACTTTTGTTCCACAGTAGTAGGGGCAACCATGGTGCTAATGAAAATCTTATGTTGCTCTTTTGCCTCTTGCAAGTGCTGAGAGGTGAGTATTGTTTTATTCTTAGTAGCTTCTGTTGTTCAAGTGCTGGTGTTTAAAGACTTATTAGAGTTCACTTTAGTTGTTTTAGTTCCTTCCATCTCTATACCACTTTAAAGTATTAAAATACAGTTTTTATTATTTGTTAGAAAAATGTTGTATTTTTTGTATGAATTAAGATAAGGGATAGCTTTTTATTTGTTATCTAATTATTAATTATTTTCTCAAAATTGTATAAAAAGACCTCATAATTCGTGGGAAAATAATAACCTAAATATTTTAATAATAATAGAGTTTCTAAATAATATTTTATATTTAATTTTAATTTGATAAAAAATATAATACAAGGATGACATGTATAAGTCCAGTATCTAATGTTTATCTATACATTTCTTCAATAAACTCTTTTTCAATTAGAGTTATGCATAAAACATAAAAATAAAAAAAATCATAACCCATATTATGAAACATTTGTATTTCCCATGATAACATTTATGATATTTTTAGCATGTCTAGGTGGTTTTTCAACAGCATAGTGAAGAGTTACTATTAATCTTGATAATAGTATAGCATAATATAAGTTTCCAAAGTTTAGTGAAATACAAATTCATAAAGTTTCACCAAAGAGTAAATTGTACAAACATCATTTTAATATTGATGTTTCTACTTTTTTTCCAAATGTCATGCCATTGGAATATCATTGGAGCACCAAAATAAACTTTTATAAACTTTGAATTCAATATATTAAACTAATCAATTTAGGATATAATTATTATACTTACAATTATCTAAAGAAAAAAGAAACTATACCTTTTATTTATTCTATAGTATACACAATAGAAAAAAATATTTTAACTTTTAATTTTTGAAATTCAAAATATATATAAATTTCTCTTTTAAAGTGAATATGGTAGCTACTCCTTGTTCTAAAATTTTAATTTCATTATAATCTATAATAAAATATTTTAAGTTTTAGTAAATATAAAAACTCTAGTTTAACAAATAAAAATTATATTTTTTATATAAAACATTAATCTCTTTGTAAAAAGGACATTTGTCAATTAAGCTACCCTTCTCAATATCATTTTTGTATAAGACAATTGCAATAACATCATTACAAGCAAGTAAATCAAACTAACTACCAAATTTCTAAATTGAAAAATATACAATAAACATGCCTTATTCATAATAGGTATTGATTTAGGCAAGTAGTAGATGCAACTTCTTGATTTAAATGAAAGTGCTTCCTCTAATTAAATTAAGTTTACTCAATTTCTTAGTGCTTAAATTGTTATGTCACATTGAATGGTGAGCCATTAAATATATACTTACAAATTCCTAATTAAGTATATATATATATTGAGTTCTAGTATTCGTGAATTTGAAATTTTATGATGCTGATTTCTACATTGTACCATCAAAAGGTTTATTTATCCTATTTATATATCTAATATTTAAGGTATATATAAAAAAAATTTAATAAACTATTTCTTAATAGGAGATATGCATAATATAAAAATTAAAAACTAATTTTGAATGCTCATATTAATAAATGTTTGTATTGTTGTGATAACATTTATGACATTGTTAGTATATTTGAGTGGTTTTTCAACAGTAGAATGAAAAGTTATTACCAATATTTCTAATGTTATGACACATTATATGTTTTCAGTGTTTTGCAAAACAAAATTTTATGAAATTTCACTAAAGAGTAAAGATTGATATTTTTACTGCTTTTTCTAAATGCCACACCATTGAAACTTCATTAGAGCACATAAATAAAATTTATAAACTCTAAATTTATTATATAAAACAAATAAATTTATGATATAATTGTTATGTTTACAATTTTCTAAAGCAAAAATAATTTATAAAATTTTAAAAAGATATATAAGTTTCTTTTGAAGTGAATATAATATTTAATCCTTGTTCTAACTTTTTAAATTAATTGTAATCTAACATAAAAAATGAGTAAATATATAGAGTTTCTAGTTTAACAACTACAGCAAAGTCATTTGTCTTAGAAGATAATTGCAATAACATTGTTGTAGGCAACAAAGTCAAACTACTTGCCAAATAGAAGAAATTTTTGCATAGGATAAATAAACCTCCTTAAATGGAATGATCTAAAAAGCAACAATTGAATTAAGCTATAAAATCTCAAATTCACAAATACTAGGACTAACAACATATACTTGACTAAGACGTACACCATCTATAAGTATATATTTATTGACTCACCCTTCAATAGGACAATGTATTCAATAATTTTGAATGTCAAGAAATTGAGTAAATTTTGTTCAATTGGTAGACTTGCCTACACCAGTACCCATTGTGGAGTCACCAATGCAAAATTCTATGAGGCTAAAGGTGTTGGTTCTATTCTCATTGAGCTTAACAAATGGCACTATACGCATGTCCCAGAAATGCAAGAAAATTTGTTATCTATGAAAAGCCTTTTTTATACTACTCTTCAATTTCTGGAGATCAACACAGTATTACTTTTTATTTTGATGTGGTCAAGGTGATGCACAGTACCTATTTACAAGTTTGATGCTATTTTAGTGCCTCTCCTTGTCAAAGAATCTAAGATGGCACTGGTTCTAGCATAAAAAATATGGAAGTAGAAATGTCGCATACACTTTGGGATTGCTTGCTGATCCTCTATCCCACCTCTTATTGGTTATGGACAAGATCAGGCTTTTTTCACATTAAAGCCTTCCTTTCTTAATAATGTTATGAAAGATCAGTAGTCCAGTGGTGCCATGCAAAAGAATATTTGTGATAGTTACTCATTTTATGCCCTAGATAACAATTGAAAGTTCGTGGCATTTGGTGCGGTGACAACTGGGACGCTTCCAGATAGAACAGAAAGTGGTAGTTCTGCACCATCAAGCTCCTGCTGCTCTCACTAGCAATAATCAAGAGGTACGAGAGATTTAGTTCTCCTGTGGCAGATCAATGCACCATGGAAGTCTGGCTAGTAAATATCCTTGATGCGTCTCAAGAATCGGGGTGATTTTTGGGTGCTAAAATCGGGAGGAGTATCAAGCTCGGGCAGGACGGCAGTCTCTCCGAGAAAAAGCGGGCTTGTTTGATTCCCCCAAACCCACCAGGCACATGGAGAACTTCGTCCACTTGAGCTGCCTGAGGATGGAATTGCCTGTTCGTGACAGGAATGGATGGTGAATGTGTGGCGTCGATGCTCCAAGCACAGCCCTGAACCTGGAAAGATCACACCGAAAGCTTACAAAGTCTACTTCTCTGGAAGTTCATACCTCTCAACCTTGGTCCCTGAAAACGTATCCCGCCGCCAGGGCGCCAAACACAAGGTCAGCGTCGAGAAAGCTACACTGCGAGGAGGAGGAGGAGCGACAGGAGGAGCGCCTGCGATCGATCATGTCTTGTCAATGGAATCAGACGAGACAAGAGAATCAGCTGCCAGGGCTGGAGCCGCCGCTGCGCCGATAGGCCAGGAAATGGATTATCACAGCCGCCGCAGTCTCCAGCTTGCCCACGTCAATCTGCGCAAGGCTGAGGTGCTCCAGCGTCGCGATGCCAGAGCATCCGCATTGATGATCGACGATGATTCAGTATTTGGTATTTACAAATATCGGGAAGAGAATCGAACCCGAAACGTTTGTTTTGGGAGACCGATGTCCTAAATGACTGGTCTAAGCTGTTTTTGTGAGCCGGCGAACCAGAATAATGGCTCCTTATTTAGCAAAATTTTTGCATAAAAGTCCTTGTTGAGTGGACCCTTCGGCATCGAACCCGGGTCTTCTACAACGGTTTACCTCTACACTTACCTGATAGCCATCATCTCGGCAACCGGGTTCCCGTAATAAAAAAATCATACCATGTACTTGAACCATATGACAGGGGTCTTTGCGAAATCCATGGCGTTTTTGTTAGATCGCCCACCAGACGAGATTATCCCCCGCATTCGTGCTGCTCGGCGTTTCGTCCTTGGCAAAGCCCCCTCTTGGGTTGTGAATCGATCATCGTGGTAATAGATCGTCAAGAGTTATGGCCTGGGTTGCAATAGAAACTCGCTGAGAAATCTCCACAGCCGCAGGAGCTTTGCGATCTTCTGCTGGTGTGAATCTCATCAGTCCCAAAACTCCACGTTTTGGCAATCCAACGAAACCTGTAGCGTGTGGCCATTCAAACGAACATACCTCGGTATCATCCTCGGCTGCCTCGATGCCTGGAGAGTAACAGTCCCGGGAAGAACCATCATTTGCCCGAAACGAAATCACGATGGATCCCCTTGCATTCCCGCTGCCAGCCAAGTACCAGCTTGTGTAGAACTGAGCCCGAGCCGGAGACCAATCCACCGGGGCTGTCCAAGTGATGCCGAGATCAAGCTCGCTGTGTGTGCCAGCAAAAGAGAGCCTGAGGAGGACGCGAGCACCCGACTTGGAGCAGGGCTGAGACTGAAAACACGACTGTCCATGAAGTTGATGCCTGTTTCTTCGCTGAGATCTCCAGCCAAGTGCTTCGCCAAGCTCTCCTCCAGCTCCAGATAGACACTACTTGTAGTTGCAAGCGGGCACTTGCCTACCAGCTTTGAGCCAAACATGCTGGAGAGTGTCCAGTCTTGCAGCTTTCGGAAAACAACCTGCTCCAATGTCATGCCTTCTTCGTCCCGATCGAAGTCACCGGAAGTGATAAGCAGCCTCTGGGAATGGTACATACCACTGTAAATCGTCTGCCTGTCCAGGAGCGTCGTGAGCCCAGCCTTGTCTCTACATGGGAGAAGCGTGAGCCATGGCGTGAGCCGTGGCGTTCTACAGAGTGCTTCTCTCGGGAGTGCTCGCTCTTGCTCCATTTCTTTCCTTTCACCACCCTCTTCATGCCAGGAGCGTCGAAAGCTCCTCCTCCTCCTGTCCGGTTTGCCTCGGGCCTCGACGAGAACCACGGCCCCAAGAACGTAGTTGGCAATTCGAGGAAGTTGATCGATGCGCAAAAGAGGCCCGAGAGAGCAGCTCGCCGCCAAGCCAGTGGGAGTGGAGCTCACGGCATTTCCAGAGGTGGACGTCGACGTCCAGCCAACGACGTGGGCTGCGCGATCGGATCGCCCACGCCCCAGCGCTCGTTGTTCCATCGCCCTTGCCATTTCTTTGATTCGAAACTTCCGGACCTGTTCCAAGCGATTCTTTCATCATCGTTTCGGGATTTGAGGACTTACGAGCTGGAAGATCGACAAAAGAAAGGGCAAAAGGAGGATAGGGTTCGATTTTACCTCTCAAAAGCCTCGACCACTGAGAAACGTACTTGGAGTAAGAGTTCGCACCCTTGGAGGCATGAAGGGCAATGAGATCACTCTTCTGAAGGCCATGGGTGTTTGCACTGTGCTGGGAGATTCTCTCCAAGGGCAAGTAAATCTGTGCTTGAATTCTTTCTAGTAGTTGAGTTTATATGTATGGAAAGTGTGGGCTCATTGAGATGCATTTGATTGAGCAGGATGAAACACGATGATCAGTGTGTACGTGTTGCATGAGTGTGGTAAGCAAGCAATCCACCTCTATGCATACTTATGTCTAGAAGGGACAAAATGGGTTGATGTTTTGCCAGGTAGCAATTTTGTCTCTACCCAGGTTGTTCTTATTAGCATGTATATTGAGTGCAATAGTCTTGAAGTTCAAGTATCTTTTAGTGGAGTTTTGAGCCTTGGACAATTGTCATTTAGCACATATAGTTGGCATGGAAAGTTGCAATATACATTTGTGATAGAGCAAAATGCACTAGGAAGGCTTGAGATAAAAAAAATGTGATGAATGATGGGATAAAGTGAAAGTGATAGATCCAGAAAACAATTGAGAACTCACCAAGAAATCGTAAAAGCTCATATATGAAAAAAGTTGATGCAACCTTGTGGCTGAAATCCAAGCTGGAACCCATGCACCAAGGTAGTAAAACCTGAAGACAAAAGAGAAGAGGTGAAAGAAAATGGAGAAAAAAAAAAAAGAAAAAAGAAGTCATTACATTAATGCTTTGAGGTGGCAATGATTGTGAGCATGTGGAAGCTCATGGCCAATTTTATTGGCGAGCACATATGAACCACCCTCCACTTAGCACTAGATGAAGTAGAGGCTAAGCCACTGTGAAGAAAATTTGGAGGATGAAGTGAACTTTTTGAGAAGAACAAGTTGTTCAGGAGAAAAGATGATTAAACTAGGAACTTTGGAGTCAATGTCTGCCTTGGTTTGCTCAATTGAAGCCCTACATTGCTCATCAAGGGCAAGGATCTTCATGTCACGAGCATGAAGCTTGTCCATGTTGGAAAGTTGGAAGTTTGTAGTATGGCGCAAAGATAGCGCAAGCAATAATACTTGGAAATCTATGAAAGTACAAGTAGTCTAATCAAATAAAGAGGCTAGGCTACTCTCACTCATAATCATTGTTCCCACTTCAAAGGTCACGGACACCATAGAATGCACGTGCTTTATTGGAGTACCATGATGAAGGCTCTAAGATTAAGCTGCAATTGAGAGGAGATCCTCCACATAAGGTCCACACTTGAAAAGAAATGATGTCATCAGAAGAGCCTCCACTAGGAAGATTGGCAACTCTTGAAGTTGGCCATCACTCTGATCAAACTAAGTGTTTGCTATGATAAGTGGGAAAGCCTGTGTAAATAGTATTGCACTGGAACATGTTGAACTCAGGCTGTCATGGATCTTCGATCAACTCAAGAAAGATAACAATCAGCGAGTGGGGAAAGGGTGTCGAGGAAGATAATATTGGCTTGAAGGATATTGATTGGCTTTGAGATAGTCCTAGAGGCTATTCTTGAAGCTTTCCCAACAAAGAGTGTCCACAAGCATTATAGAAACAAGAAGTTCAGTGATTGTCGCTAATCTCTATTATGCCGAGTGACCAATTTGTAATGCCTCAAACCTAATCATGCCAAACTTGTCCAATGATGAGGGAGTCCTTCAAAGGTGTGGAGCTGAACTTTTGGTAGTTTACCACCACAAAGTTCAAAAAAGATTCCACCCCATTAATGTAAACTCGAACACTACATCAAATGCCCGTGGGGATAACAATGTAGTTTGCAAACATCTTTAGGATCAGAGTTGTGCTTCTAGAGACTCGAAAACCTGCTCTTGTGGCTGAAGAGATCACATTTCTCCCAAATCCAAAATTGACAAAAGCATTGATGATGGGAGAACTATCGCCAAAGCCTATAGGTGCAAAAATTGCATCTAGATTAGAAGAGGAGGCTGTGTCAATGATGTGCACATCCAATAGGAAAGAGGCTATGGCTTTAGTAGACCTTGTAAAGTCCTTTAGATGCTATCTAAAGCTAGGAATCATACATAAAAGCTCACACCACAAAAAGGTGACAAATGTTTCCATCAATTGTTGAAGTGCACACTCCAAGTCCCTACCAAAGGAAGGTGCAAGATATCTGGGAAGGAGAGGCGTGAATGGGAGTTTGCATGCCACCTTTAGTGTTGGATTAGTGATTGCTGAAGGAGCTGGATCGCCATCAATTTTCTCTTGATCAGTTGTTTTCTTCTTTTGTGCTCATGTGGCTATTGTCTTTGCAAACTCTTCCTTGGGATCTTGATTGCATTGACTTGTCCCATTAGAGATTTTCCTTTGTTGGAAGATGACGAAGGTACATCCTCGATTGCATGCTGCTCAAGCTGTTGTTAGTAGCAATCCTTTGCTTGTGTTATAGTGCTATTATCAGTGAATGGTTGCTCTTGGAGACATTGAAAACATGGTGGTCACAGCTCTAGATAAAGCTTCCAACACCTCTCTATGCTGTGAGTTGTGATGTTGCAATGGGAGCAATACTATAAGTGACTAAGTTTTCCATTTTACTTTAGTCATTTAACCGCATCTCCGACCACTTGGAGGAGTCTCATTCACAACTTCCATAAGTCCCAGTTAGGACTTGGGGCTTGCTAGCTCCGAGAATGGCATCCATGCCACTCAACCTTTGCACTTGGTCCAAGTGCTCCACGTGTCTGATCCCATGACTGACACCCCAAAGCACCACTGACATATCGGCCCGTTACGCTAAGGCCATGCCCATTCACCTTGGTCACACTGGTGGTCTAACGCCACTTACATCATAGTCCTATCTCTCAAAGACTGGGCCATCCGTCTGTGAGTGATCATCCCAGATCTACTCCTTAACATCCTTAGGATGCCCGTAGACATGGGGAATAGCCTTCCCCGACAACTCTTTTCCAGTCCCCACCAAGTCCCTTTCTGTCCATGGCCGTGTTCGCTAACACTGCCACTAGATCAAGGCTCACAGGCTCGACCTCTAAGTCCCACTATCCTTTGGGACTTCTTCATCATGTGACCATATCCTTGGTCACTGCACTAGAGGACTGCTCCTCTTCCCTTTCACCGTTTGGGACTTTGTGACAACATTCCAGAACACCGTGGCCTTATGCAAGCCTCATGGGTACTCTCCCTGCCTTTCGCCTTTAAGTGCTCTAGCCATGGGCTTAGAGTTAGGTTCCGTTGAGCCACGCCAGGTATCCAAGTAGGTAGTGCCACCCACACTTGGACTGGGAGCATTGGCCAGTCGATCTCCCGGGGGAACTAGAGCTGGCTCTTGAACACTTCACCAAGTTACCCACTTGTCGGTCTGTGTTCACTTTAGTCTTGGACTTCCCAGTGGGCAGCTCATCACCCAACACTGGGTATAGCCTTCCTGGGCCAAATTGGCCTTTCCTGGCCCAACTGGCTCCACTGCAGTCCTCCCCCTTACTATACTTTTGGAGCTCACCAAACCCCCTAGGGTCTGGGAGACAAACACTTTGGGCTTTCACCCTCTTAGACTCGAACTCGGACTCGGACTCGGACTCAGACTCGGACTCAGACTCGGACTCAGACTCAGACTCAGACTCGGACTCAGACTCGGACTCGGGCTTGGGCTCGATCTCGGCCTCAGTCTCGGCCTCGGTCTCGGTCTTGGTCCCGATCTCGGTCTCGGTCTCGGTCCCAGTCTCGGTCCTGGTCTCAGACTCCATCTCGAACTCCATCTCGGGTCCATCTTGGACTCCATCTCGGACTCCATCTCGGACTCTATCTCGGGTCCATCTCAGACTCCATCTCGGGTCCATCTCAGATCCCATCTCGGGTCCATCTCGGACTCTTCCACGTGTCATGTTTTGGTCCTCTTGTGTCTTCTTTTCTAGAGACTCACTCATGGCTCGCCTCGTGCTTGTTCCTCGAGCACTTCGTTGGGAATTCCACTCCCACTCTTGACCTTTTCAAGTCGAAGCTTTTAGTCTAAATGTGTTACGATCGTTTGGCTTTCACTTTGGCCACTACCACGTGGCACCCTTTCGGCTCCACTTTGGGGCCTATGGATTTCGTGTCTCACAAATACCAAGAGTGTGGAGCACATTGTGGCTTCTCAGCCTACTGTAAGTGGTAAGTATGGAGCTCTTGAAGGATTTTCTCTTGCATTTGCTATTGTTATTAGATGATCTCCTTGTACCCTACAAGCTCTATCAAAGCCTTCTTAATCACTGTAGGAAATTTGTCATCAGCAAGAGCAGGAGCAGTAGTTATATGAGAGATAGCTGCATATGAAGCTCCCTCAACCTTGGAGATACTAAGCTCCTAGAGAAGATCACACTCTAAAGTCTCAGCAGTTGCAAAAGTCTCATGACATATCCAAAATTACCTCTTGAGCATCTTGTGTTAGAAATTCCTCTTGAGTCTAGAGATGAATGCCGTGATACTATGAGGCTCATTGGTGATCACCTGCTGCTCCACACACTCTTTCTATAGGCACTAAAATGCATCATATACTTTAGCACTGACTCACTAGCTCTTTGTTGAAAGGCAAACAAGTCCATAAATAAACAATTTGCCGGCCACTGCTAATCAAAATGTGATTTGAATAAGGTCTTGAATGTGGTGTAGTCCACCATATCTGCCTCCAAAAAGAGTCTCTGCCCATGCTGTTGCTCAGTTAGTAAGCGATTGAGAGAGGTCTCGAAGCTTATGATCATCATCACCAATGTCATTTGATGCATAATATTGCTCAAACTGAAGAATGTGTATCTTGGCCAAGATGTCCCCATTGCCTAATAAGTAAGGCAAGTCCATCCCATGTTGCACAATATGAATTACAGGAGGAACTACTATAATAATGGATGCTCAAACTTGCTATTTGCCAAAGACTCTGAATCCTCCTCAGTTGAGAGAGCCATTTGATAATATAGCTCATAATAGATATGTGAATAATGATTGTTAAACCTAAGGAATATTGCTAATAATATGCAAGCATCAAATATGTATGGATCTACTATAAACGGGCATAAAATAATGCAGTCACTACATGTAACAAATGCTCCTAAAGAGTGAAAACTTCTTGGCTTTTGGAATGCTCTAAATCTAATGCAAAGATCTCATAGCAAAAAAAAAATGGCTAGAGAATTTAAGGAGAACCCTAAAAATTAGCACTCACCAACATTCAGAAGTTTGCAAAGACAAAAACTG